TATAGATAGAAGAAAATTTTATTCAAGAAATGCGTCCCAACAACTAATGTGATTGGTGGATAGACTTTACAGTCGCTGCCCTGGCGTGGAAACTTCTGGAGTACCGCCGCAGCGAGGGTGCGATAGGCAGAGATGGAAGATAACAAATCACGACTCGTACTATTCGTTGCCCGTTTTCATGTATGTTGAACTGTTGAACTTCGACGTACTATGTTGGAATGGTGGATGAACCTGGGGTATCATATAGATAGAGGAGATTTTCTGTGAGAAATGTGTCCAATCGCTAACTGCAATTGGTGGATGGGCTTTACACTCGCTGCCCTGGCGTGGAAAATGTGGAGTACCGCTGTAGCAACCCATTGTAATTCGAGTTGCTGCAAAATGGAAACCCCTTGGCAACTTCGCCTCGACCTTGCTGTGGCTGGAAAGCAAGTACCTATGGGTAATAACGAACCAAAATTATTAATCAATGGATATTTTGTTGCGGACCGGACGCCGCACACGTCATCCATTAATTTAACGGCAAATAACGGTGAAGAAAAAGTGAGAGCCAGATTCTGCGGACGGCAATGCGGCAAATAGCGAACCGGATATTACCGGACGAATATCACACTCAGTTTTATGGACCGGACTTAACGGAACGGACGGCACCCGAGTGTGGCCACCTCTAGTGGGCGCCCGCGAGGCGCGAGAGGCGCGGGAGGATGGGCGACTAACAGGCGCCCATTCTTGCCAACGGCGGTCGCCTAGAATGGGGCCCGCCTAGAATAGGGCCCGCCGATGGCGTGAGTGGGCACTCGCGAGGCGCGAGAGGTGCGGGAGGATGGGCGCCTAATGGGTGCCTATTCTTGCCGCCCGCAGTCGCCTACAACGGGGCCCATTGATGGCGCGAGTGGGCGCCCGCGAGGTGCCAGATGCCCGGCAAGATCGGCGCGTTACTGGCGCCCAACCGCGCTGCCGGCCTTGCGTTGAAACGGGGCTGGGGAAGGCGCAGTTGGGATCCTAGGAGCCACGAAATGCGCCGAGGGATTTGCGCCTCGTGGGCGCCCATTCCCGGCTCTTGCAGTGGCCTAGAACGGCCTCCGCCGCTGGCGGAAATGGGTGCCCACAAGGCGGGAGAGGCGCCCCTGATTCACCCCTTGCACGCTCCCATTCCTGCCGCTCGAGCTGGCCTAAAGCGGCCTTTGCCTATGGTGCAACTCAGCACTTGTGAGCTGCGGCCTCCGTTGGACTGTGCCGTCGGGTGCCTTTGGCACCCATCGCTTGCCGTGCAATGCCGTTGGGTGACGGGATGTTGCCGTTCCAACGGCAAATATCCTTGCTTAGTGAACCCATTACTAAGTGCGCCGTCCGTAGTGGTATCCACTGCCGTCAACGGCAACGGCAACTTACGGCATTGGGTTTGTGCCATGGTTGTTGTTAAATAACGGCCTGCACCGCCGACCTCTAAAGCAATACAGCCAGCACATATGTTTTCTTCATAGCATCATTTCAGCTATGGGTGACTGATGAATGAACGAACACATGCAGCCTTAGCATGGGGTAATCCACCCTAGAAAGAGCCATCAATTGTGGGCCCAAGCTTTCGGTCGTGCACGGTTCCTTATAGCCTTTTTCAGGCCAGAAACCTCTCAGCCGAGAGCAAGTGGCTTTGAGGACAGACACACGCCCAAACTGAGCAGTATCCTTATTCAGGATGTACGGCCCCACCAGAAATTGAGAGCCACGGTCAATACTAGTGAGGCAACTTTCATTGAAATACTCTTGCTTCATAGAGTTTTGCTCAGTCGTCACTAAGTTCCCCTTGAGGCAAAAACTCCTCTCAATTTTCATGACCAGCTTGCTATATGAGTAAAAACGCAAGCACTTGACCAGTTTTTGTTTCTGTTTTTTCTTTTTCTAGCCAGTGGTGGCATACTCAAGCCATCCCACAGTCAGAATGCATGTCAGACGTGAGTCCCTCGCCAGCTGAGTCATAAGTGATCCACCCAGTGAAACGGTGGTCATTATGCAACTGCGTGAACAACAAACCAATAGTCACCTGGTTGCCAAGGGAAGGAGCCCTTTCCCCTTTCTGGAAGGCGGTCTTCTTCTTGCACCTTCTCGGTGTGTGTCAAATTGACACAAATGTCAACCCAACTGGAAAGCCCCTTTTGGCATGCTCCACATTTAGGCAACGTGTGGCCAGGGTTATGGAAGGGAAAGGCTGTATGCTTGGCAATGGGAAAGAGCTAGCGAAGCGTTCAGGAATGGCGATGAAAAAGACATTGGAGAAAAAAACGTAGGTGTCCGTCGAGGAGCTCGGGCGTCTTGTGATCTTCACATTCACTGCAGCGTGCATGGGCAGACTGGCCAAGGACAGCTGAGCAAGGCGGCGAAGCGAAGGAGCTGAGGCCTGTGGTTAATAAGCGCTGTGAGCTTCTGAATTGGATTCAATCCGGCTTTTCCACTCTCTTCGAATAGAGTGGAACAGAGCTGGTCGAAAGTGGCTTTCAAAACGTTGTGAGCATATTGAATGGCGTTCTGCAATCCCTGTGGTCCATGATTCTCGAAACTCGGAGGAAATTGCCCATGGGGACGATGGTCGCGACTGTCCCAGCAGTTTTGGGATCGAATTGCTGACGATCCATCTGCATAACGCCGTCGCCATTGTCGCCAATTCGACAATACGGTGAGAATGAGTCCAAAGGAGATGCCTCGCTCCAAACTATAGTCAACTGTGCGGGGTGCTGGAAGTGCCATTCAAGTTCTATGTTGCTGTGTCGATTCCAGGTGTTTTGGCTCAGGTGGCCCCAATATTCTCAACCCGACGGTACAACACCAGCTGCAACATGACAGGCACCGTCAATACGCTGAACTCATACTTCGAAGCAATACATATGGAGCACATGGTGTATAGTCAAGTTGTAAACGGCGACAGTGGGCGACCTGACGTTCAACGCGGCACTGTGTCATTGATGTATAGTGTACCTTGCAAGCCATCCGTAATTGTCTGTGTCCTGTATCTGGATGCAGCCGCAAGCAAGAGCGTGCCATGCACTGGCCAGCGCTGTCCGTTGCCATAGACACCGTGAGCAATTGCAAGCCACTCAACTCGAAAAATACGGTTGCGCTCGTCAAAGGGCCCCATCGTGAACCAAAATTGCCACTTTTTTCCAGCGGCACTGGGGGCAGACGAGAACGAAGTGCGGGAATGCCAGTGCTGCACATGTCCATAATCTGCAAACACCGCCCCGTGGTCAACATCGAGCTCATAAGTCTGCAGGTCTGTGCTCGAGCACATACAGTCAACAACAATGACACGTCGTCAGGTAGCCCCGCATGATGGGGCAGGTGCTGGTTGCAAGGGCCAGGTTGGACAACCAACTTTTCTGATGCCCAAGCTTTAATTCTGCACAGCAACACATTCGGCTACCCCCTGTCGCTGCGTTCAATGCCATGCAGACAGTGTCAGCAAAACAATGTTCAAATCCGTTTTGGGGAACACCCGAGACAACAAGCACCAGGCTGTTTCCTTGCTGCTTGGATTCCGCAGCTGCCTTACCCCCTTGCCATTGGTTCAGAATGCACAGGTCCTCAACAGGGGCTCTGCAAATGCCACGAGCATTCCCACACCTTCTGTCTCGTCTACTCCCCTAATTGCAAACCAAAACCAAATTTGTAGTCCTTTTTCCAATGGTCCACCTCACCTGACAAAATGAAAGTGACCCCTGGGTTTAGGCGCTCTTCGAGGAATGCACCAATCAAGCCATTTGAGTCGATCCGGCCCCTCACCCTTGCCCGTTGGAAAATGTAGTCATACCCCACTGTAGCAGTTGCCTCCCGAACGTTCCAGTTGTACAGCAGGTCTGCAGCAAGGGATGCCTGCAGCAAACACCCATTCAAGAGCCTTGTGTCAGTGGTTGCAGTGCCAGACAACAGCAGCACGTCGAAAAGGATGAACAGCATCTCCATCTTCCAATTGCTACCTGTGTTGGCCTCATCTCTCTGAAGGAGCCATAAAACTGTGAAAGTGAAGATGGTACATGCTCCACTGCGCCCGTTTCCAGTATATTACTTCTGCCATGAGCCTGATTGCTAGCATCATGGGAGTGGAAACAACATCTGCCTCAGGATTGGAAGCCAAAGACTGCAGGACATTCAAACGTGCAGGACAGCATGTTCCTCTTCTGCTTGTTGGCAGGAAATTGTCCATGCAGTAAAACAAGCATCACAAAAGTGGACAATTGGTAACAGCCCCACGGTTCAGGCCCAGCACCACCCACAAGCACACACCTTCTCTCCCACTTTGTGCAGGTAGGACAGCGATATCAGCCCAGTGTTTGACAGCTGGCACGTGGCGATGTGTTTGTCCCCAACATGCCTGGCAGCCAGTCCGATTCCTGATCGCCTCTGCTCATCCATGTAGAAGACCTCGCCACCAGCAGCAAGACCAGGCGTGACACTTTGGAGATAGTTCAAACCTGTGGGGCAGCAACATCAGGTGAAAATGTTCAGTAAACTGACCAAACACACCAGCAAATGCAAAGGACAATGGGGCAGGGACACAACTTGAGTGAATGTATTGCAGGTATTACAGTTCTGCGTTGAGCCCACCGTGGCGCATGTGTCATGGAGTTGACAGCAACAAAGAATTGTCACTGGTTCCACAAAGCAGCCAAATGGCACCAACACGTGTGAAACCTGGAATGATACACACATTTGTGGCCACAGCCATGGTAGCCATTGCATCAGTCAATTTTAGCACAGCTAAACGTTAGGCACATTTCCCATACTGCACACTGGCTGTCAGCAATAATGAGCCCAGGCTGGCACATCTGCTGTTGATGGTATCAAACTTTGCCGCTTAGACATGTTGCACGATTGTTCATCAGATGTGGGAGGGTTCCACATGTCAGACGTGCCAAACTGCAACATGGTGACGTGAGCATATGGAACACGCACCAAAGAAACCATTGCTCCCAAGTTTAATCAGGCCATTCCAGTCTCGTCCCTGGGAGCATAGCACAAGATCAAACAGAAATCCAAAGGGCAGAATTCCACATTTGGAAACAGAGTCTTGCATCAAATCTCACAACGCGACCATGCTTGTGGCAAGCCATGCTTTACTGTATCACTTTTCAGTCCACTGTTGAATACCATAGGCAGTACATCGACTGCTGTGGTCAAGGGAAGGGACACCTGCTTGTGAGCTTTTGCCAGCTGCAATACTTTTCTGAGGTAAAGAGCATGGCCAAGCGTTGAGACTGCTATTTGAGGCGATAACATCCCATTTGAGCACAAACAAGAGCAAACAGCCCCATAAGGCACAATTTCAGGGCACAAGAAATACTCCTCTGCAGGAAAATAAGAGCAATACCTTGCTACCTGACAGCTGGTGACCTGTAGGCAGTGGGCCATTCTCTGCTACTCAAGCCTGAACGATTACACCAGACAGCAAGGTTCTCAATGACAAAGATTTGTGCTCAGTATCAAGCCATTAGAACCCATTTCGAGCACCACCATCTCCAGAAAAACTCCACAAATAGCAGTAACAGGGGTTCCTGCGACTCACCTTGAAGTTGATATCACAGATTTGCTGTGACATCTCTGGCTCATTGGCCAACTGTGCTTGCCAGTTGAGGCTAATCCAGTCATTGAATTCATACCTGCGATTCAAACGCAAAACTACGAGTATGATTTCAAGCTCACATGCCTCCAAAGCAAAAACAGAACAAGGAACAAAGGTACACCTCTGCAGTGCAGGTCACACTGTAGGACAATCCAGTGCAGTCCAATGCTTTTGGTGGGTACTCTGTTGCCAGTACCCTTGAATAAGAATTACCACACCTGAATCGTATGTCATGATCAAATTATCAGCAGGTTGCAATAATATGGTTCCTGTCTTCAATGCATTGCGTTGCGTCTGCAGATTTCGATCCAGAACTCTGTTCGTCTCCATCCCAGCACGATGCTGGGCACTAGCCTACAACGCTTCTGATACACTGAGCTTCGATGTCCAACGTGCAAACATGACATGGTGGCCAATGGTGCAAGAGCAAATTGCAATGAAACACAACACAGGGAGTCCTTCACAGGGCCAGCAACCAGCCCGATGTTGCCCACCTAAATCGGCCACTCATCCGCGCCTCAGATGTTATCCGTCCAACCATGAGCAGCTGCACAGCACAGCACACAAAATCTTAGCCGCTTGTAGCTAGACAGACTCCGCAGCCATGACATGGTAGCTGTCGAAACTGGACAGGACTCACTTCAGCAGAAGCAGAAGATCAAACCCCAAGCATCTACCCTGTGGCGATCAGCAGTTTGCGATTACGAATTGAGGTCTGGTGGGACCCTCAAGTATGTCTTACAATCGGCAGGCACCCACCATTGGAGCAGCTCCTGAATCTCTGCAAATCGCAGACTGAAATTTGGATGTTTATGAACCAAGAGACCACCTCACAGTCCTCACCTTGTTTGTGACCACAGTGGCTCCAAATTCGTATGCCGACACTGGGCACTTGTACACCTGGCGGGGGTTTTGTGTGGGAATGTCCAGATTGCCCATGGCGATGCTGTTGAAAGTGAGTGTGCGCAAGGGTGTTGGTCAGCCCACCCATGCAGGAGTCAAGATAGCTTCAGCAAGAGCTGCCAGAAACAGGGCTACAGCACAGTGGTGCACACCTGTGCGTCAAGAAGAACTGTGGGTTGAGAGGTTTCGCAATCTCAAACTTCATGCCTTCAAATGTCTCTGGTCGAAGGGCCACTGCCAACAAACGAAAAGACACCCTATTCAATGTTCGATGGCACAGACCAAGTTGACAGTTACTCATCAAATGGAATCCGTAGTCGTGCCCATCAAGGCGGTCATTGAAGAACCTTCCACAAGGGCAAGGGCACCTGTTTTCTGTGCATTGGTCGACTGCCTGTCCAAGGCGCTCCAATTTTGGCACAGTTCACTTCATCTCGACCCCAATCCCAAATTTCTGTGCACTTACTGAAGACCTCTTTGGTTAACTCCTCGTACTTCACAGGACAGGGCAGATTGAAATACTTCGAGGTCTGTGATTGTTGAGCACTGGACGGCTGAAAACACAACACAGGGCGGCAGATCAGCAGCCAGGACGGCGCGCCCAGTTTCCCAGGACCCGAACAAAGGCAGCACCCAAGGATCGAAACCGCCCAGTTGACTGAAAGGCCAAATGGCCAGCGCATTCAAGACAAGCCACCGGCGCAGCGTGCCCCCCGAGCTCGAGCGCAGCCATTGCCATTGACCACCCACGAGGACACAATGCCGGCGACAAATTACAGGCGCCGGGTTGCGACGCCGCCCGACCGTAGCCAAGGCAAACACCACGCGCCGCATTCATTAACTGAACCACGTCCCTCCCGACGTGCTCAACAGCTCCCCAAGATCCGGCAACGCCTCCCCCAGCAGCGACACAGTGACACCCAGCGATCGCCCACCACCCCTCCAATCAACTTCCGCGCATCCCACCCCCACCACCCACTCGAAACCGCCCCCCTCAATCCGATCCCAACCGCCGTGACCGCAACCCCAGGCATCGGCCGCCGCGCCCCGACCGCGCCCTCCCCCTGATCCTCACCGGCTCCTGCGCCTTGCCGCCGCCCGTCCCGACCTGCCCTCCTGCGTGCGGCCCCGTCGCCAGGCCAGCGAACACGGGCGGTCCGCCGTCGGCGCGGCTGACGGTGGCGCCCATTGCGCCCCACTCCGCCTCCTACACCCTCCTAAACCGGCGGCCACGCCCCGCACGCAGCAATGATCCACAATGAGCCCAACGGGAGGCTACGCGGGGCAGGCAGTCCTGGGCAGGGGCCCAGCGGTGGCTGCGTGCGTGCGCTGTGCGTCGCCCGCCTTTGGGCTCGTCGGCTGGCCTTCCGGGCCCCCAAAGTACGGGCAAAGGGGACGGCGCACCGGCGCCCGGCACATTTCTGGCAGGATGGCGATGACTACTCTCACTGGACCGCTGCCCACCAACACTGGGGGCAAGGGAGTGCGGGAGGCGCCCATATCCCCGAGCCAGCAAATGGGTGCCTCCTCTTCCCGCTCCGATAGTCCCCCGGGTGGTGGCCTGGCCTGATTGGCCCCAAACCCCCTTGCAGATTGTGTGTTTTGGAGGACGGCGTCCCCCTGATGGCCTCCACGCCATTCGCGTCGCCCATGCTCGCCCAGGAGGCCTGGCTGGCGTCAGCCAGGGCGGGCCCCTTCTGGCCGTCTTTTGCTTCGTCAGTAGTGGTCGCAGTGTCGGTGGCGCGCGAGGTCGGGAGCACGGGGGCCGGTGTGGCGCATGTGGCGTGGGCGGTTTGCGAGGCACCCAGACGCACCGCCCAGGTCGCCACGAAATACGTGAGTAGGCAGCTGGGTGGAGGCACCACGTTTTGCACGACGCGCCAATCGCTGGTTGCCCTTCTTGAGCTGCATAGGAGTTTTCTGCAGTTGGTGCTGTCTGTGGTCAAAGGGCGGCGGGCGTTACGGGACTGCAATGGGGCTGGGCGGGTTGTCTTGACGGGGTGGGCACTGAAGGAGGTTTTGCGCTACGTTGGCTTTCAGGACGGATTTGACCGTTGCCCCCGCGTGAAGACGTTCGGGGAATTGTTCAACGCCAGGTCGCTGGCGGTCTTGACCTTGAAGAAGTAAGTGCTTTCGTCGGCAACGTGCGACATGTCCCGGGCAATGCGCCCCGATTGCTGCCCGTCAAGAGTGTTTAGGCACTGTCGTGGTGCCCATAGCTTCTGCTGGCAGCACCCAGACATTTTGCACTGGCAGCGGTCATGCTGTATTGCGCTGTATTTGGAGGCATTTGAATCAGTGATTGACCATTGTTCTCAAGAAACGTGATGAACATGCGGCCTCCTTGAAAGAGGAGTTGTTGTTCGAGATAAAGAGAAACCTGTTGTACAATTGCCATCGCCCTCCTGGGCAAGAAAAGAAGGGAGGCCCTTTCAATGCTATGAGCGATTATAGACAGTACACTATAGCAGGCGCAACACAACGCAACCTGTATTACTGGTGGAAATAAACATGCATCCCACAGGACGAGGACGGTGAAAGCAGTGCCTGTGTCCGTGCAGTGCCTCCCTGAAGAGAATAGGGCAAAATGACAGAAAGAATTGGCGACAGCTGCATCGATTTGTAAGGATCTCTCCAGTGCATGCTCTGACTGCGTTGCATTTGCAGTCCATGTGCTCCAACATATGGCAGGATCATGCACAACAGTCGGTTTGGCAGGTCTAGTCGGCAGGTTGGCAGGTTGGACTGTTGAAGGATTGCTTTTTTTGGCAGAACCAGATGCTTGCAAGACAAAGGCACATTTTCTTTCACGTGTTGCAGTGCAGATGCTGTAGGACATGCCCCAACATCTGATCTGTTAGCTCCCTTTGCATCAGAGAGCTACCCAGCACGAAGTCTTGCTGCTGGCAGATGAATTGCAGAGTGTGCAATGAGCAGCATGTATTTGATTGCATTTGCTGCTCTTTCAAGGTGGTAGGAGACACACATAGCTTCTGATAGAATCGGATAGCACCTACACCTCCAAATGCAGTGAAAATATTGGAGCAATAGGACGAAGGGACCACATTCTCTGTCTAGTCCTGTCTATGACAGGACGCAAAATTGTCGCCACTCTCCATGCAAACCTCAAGGCCCTATCCCTGTACACCTGTATTGCCTTTGAATGATTGGGTTGGGCTTGTCCTTTTTTATGCCATGCAAGGACGAAGATGTGTCCTTTCATCGTGCTGTGCAGTGTATTCGAGTGCTGGAAACTAGCAGCTAATTTTGTTCATCCTGCGCGCTTCTTGATGCCCGCAAATTTGTGTCATGCAGCACAAGCCTGTCAGTTTTTGTTGACATGGCACCATATGTCCATGAGGTTCTGACAGAGTACCAAGATGCTGAAAATGAGGTGATTTCATGAGATCGTTGCTATCCCGGGGCCATTTGCATGGTTACATTTCTATGCAGGGACTGGTTGTGGTGTGGTGGTGGTCGATGGGCAAGTTTATCCGTGCCTATGTGCTGAACCTAGTAAATTTGGCAAAAGCTTACAGGCTGTATCTCAGAGGGTTTTTGGGAATGAGCTATAACGTTGTGTCATTTCAGTGCTGTCAGGATATGGGACAGATGGGCACCGAAAAAAAAGGAACGACATAACAGAGCCAAAGTGGAATGAAATGCAAGGGAGATCACGTCGCTCATGGCCATCTGCAGTTATTTGTTCCGTGGTGTTGCATTTGCCTTGCAAGTGTCACACTTTATCACCTTGGAGATTCCTGGACAAGATTTACCAAAGTCGAACAATAAAGCCAAGAATGTATGTCGGCAGGTTGAAATAGGACATGAATCTTGGCATGCTGTTCCCGATTGAGCATAATCGGCCCCTGTATAGCACAGACTGCCACAAGCACAACTGATGGATGTTGTGCACACACCGATCACTTATCTCCTAGCGCATATTCCTGCTGTGAAATGTGTCATACTGATTCCCACTTCTGCATGGGAAATTATTGTCTAGTTGGGCTGAACTCAGCAGCAATGGCATAACATGTTCATGAAAAAGATGGCTGTGCACTGCACTGTGTGGAGTCCTTATCACAGGAGTTCTGAATGCACATAGCCATTGCATAATGCGTGCAAGGTCAGTTTTGCAGGATCGTGAACCAAGAATACCTCCAATGCCAAGATTATGGCCTGCCTTCAAGAACGGCCTCTATCTGGCTCTTCGGCAGGCCGCGGTCACTTTTGTGCGGTAGGTGTTTATAGCAGATTTGTGTATCATTGGCTATGTGGACAGTTTGCGGGATGCATTAGCCACATGTCCTCCTGGTTGAAGTTGCTGCTTCTGTCTTTGGTGCGGACGTGGCCTGATCAAAAGGACTTGCTTTGAAGTAAATGCAGCTGATCCTGGGATAGCAGATCATCCCACAATGCAATTGACAAATATTTCTGGGCTGTCAGATGGATTTTTGACTGGGGAGTCAGTGTGCACTGCAGCACAAGCACTGCACTGAGGCTGTTAACAGGTGGGTGGGTTACTTACTCACACCAACCTGGCTAAAGACATGTGCATTGGATATCCAGTGGAATCAGTGCTGTCCACATCATATTTCTTGCAATGGATGTGTCATCTGATTGATATGTCACTTGCTGTGCAGGTGGCTGTCTGGTAGACTCCTTGGATCGCCAGCTGGCCTTTGCAACGCATTTTCTTCCTGACAAAAGCACAAAATTTCAGCTGATCTGTTGTGCCAGCCCACCATTGGTGTTACCCAAACAGGAACTAAGCGTTGTTGTGCCTTCTCCAGAGCAGATTACCGGTGGGCGATCGAGCAAATACTTGCTGACATGCCCAGGCTGAAGCGAATCGTACCGCTCTACCTCACCACAATAAACTGTGAGCTCTCCACTCCTTGAGGCAACGTGCTTTGTTTGGAATTCGGTATCTGCTGTCTTGGCTGATGCAACAAACATGATCTGCTGCATTGTCCAGTCCAGGAAGACTTCTGTTTGCCACAGGTTGCACAGTTGTTTCTGACGCTTGGCTTCTTTTGTGTGTGCACCAACAGCCTATCAAACATGGGTGGCAGCAGATTTCACTGTTTCTCTTATCATTTTGACCTACAAGTACGTGTCTTCGTTTGGCTGCCTCATAAACCAATTTCATGTGAAAATACCAAGCCCAACGCTTCTGATGCCAGGGCATGTTGCTTCTTGCTGTGACTGAAAATGGGACTTTGCGAATGGTGGTTTGTGACTTTACTGCTGCAGAGTTTTGGGACTCATGAATTGCATGCAAGAACAGCTGCAAGTTTCAGTCTGTGGCTGGGTGTTCTTTGGCTGCTTTGCACAAATTGTCTCCTGTGAACAGGTGCCTCGTGGCTTTGGGGTCTTTCCAGTGAACGAAAATGTGCAATTCTGTGGGGTTGGACTCCATATCCGCTGCGGCTTTGGGCCAAAGCCTTTGGCTTGTCTCAAATGTGCTGTTTTCCAACTCTCTGCTGCCATTTCACGACCCGTGCACTTGTCACATGCAGTGAATATTGATGCAACTCTCAATATTGAAGCATTGTAGGTGATTGTATGGAGTCTGCTGTTCTAAGTAATGATATGTACTCGGCAGCATGGTCCCAGGATTCATGCTCAGCATCAACAGTGAGCATTGCTGTTTTTGTTGCTAGGGTAACAGCACTGTATTCATTGAGAACGACGACACGCACAAGGACAACAGCAAGGGGCATTATGTGGCGTCAGGGGATCCAAAATTGGTGCAACCGCGCTTTGCTTCAAGTCTACAAAAGCACCGCCCTCGCTGTTGTAGACCCCATTGGTATGCACCATTAGCCCATGTCTACTGCTCACTGTAGCTGCTGGACCAGCCTCTGAATCATCTGACGTTGTGGGTCTGTGGCGCCAGTCCAGCCGCATTTCAAGCTGTGCATCCATAGACAGTGAGTGCACCCATGTGGATTGCATGGTGTTATTGTTACGGTTGCTTTGTGCAATATGGTCTGGTGCCCATTCCGAAAGGGGTTGGGTAATGGCTTCCTTCCTCAACACCGGCAACAGACCCTGCATTGATCTGTTTCCTGTGTTCCAGCTCGCATCCCAAGTTCTTAGACAAGCAAACATCAGCAACGGATACACCAATGCAATAGTGGAGCACGCCGAGGGCGACTTAGCGCAAGTTGGTGTCATGCCCTCTTCTGGCCAGGCACTCCCATCCAAGTCTTGAGCTCACATTGTGCTATCGATCACAAATTTCTTCGGCTGTCTGACATCCTTGCCATTGTGTTCAGGGGCAGTGGTGGGGGGTGTGGTGTTCAATTCGTACCCTTATGTCATGATGGGTTACACCGCCGCAGATTTTGTCGCCCTCAACTATTTTGGCCAGGAATTGCTACACGACGCAGAGAGCAAGCCGTGAAGGTGCACAGGCAAAACGGTCGGGCTTGATGACCCTGCACCGTGTTCTTCGAGGGGCGATTCGGGCCTGCAGCTGAATTACACGCTGACCATGATTCTACCGAACTCGTGTGCCTGGTTGGTTGCGTGGCTGTTGGTTTATGGCTCTAGGTCTATGTCTGCATCCATGTTGTTAAGTTAGTGTTCCGACTTGTAGTACTGAAAAGCCTTCCTTGTCTACAGCCTATTGGTTGTTGGGTGATTCAGTGTCGTGTGCTTAGCGGACACAGCCGAATAAGTTTTGCAGAGGTCCAGGGATTTGTGGAATCAGTACGCAAGGGACCCCACAATCCACCCCTTAAGGTTACCCCTTAAGGTTGCCGCCAAGAAATTCCCTGTATTCACCATATTTTGTCCTCCTTGTAAGCTCGAGAGCGCAAAATCAGTAAAGAGAGGCAACCGAGGGGCCCTGCTTCGGCAGGTGCCCCGATACAACCACCACGATGAGAGAAATGACAATTGACTGTCCAAACTAGCACACTCAGAACCTACTGGCAGGAAAGCGCTTTGCTGGTCAGTCATTCAGGACGTACAACTCCACGCCCCTGGCCATGGCTGGCAGTGACTCGAACAGCAGACTGGCTTTTCTGGAAGATGCTCACTGCAACGCACAGGACTCAAAGGACACAGTTCTACCGGAATATACACCGTGCTGATGGCGCTCAACGTTGCTCACAGGGCGCAAATCGCACAGTTCTGCCAGAACTCCCGCTAGGCCAACACCAAGCACAAGTTCACTCGGTGGCAGTTCTCTGTGGACTGTACACTTTAATAGTCTTTAAGGCTCGCGCATATTAACTGCCGCAAATGTGCGGAAAACCAAGGTTCACGCACATAAGCTTACATGCACTTGACGATGCTGCCCTGTTCAACTGCAGCCCGTCTCCTTTGTAGGGTCAACAGGTTCCCAGGGCGAAATGGTCGCACGAGTCCCCCTTGTTTCTTTGTCCTTTTCTACGCTGGGCACGTTTTTGCACATTCATAAGTAGATAACCTGGTGACCTGAACACTCTGTCGTCTTGGGCAACAGACCCAGATCATCCTTTCTGAGAAGTTTGTGTCCCCGGTCGCCCTTGAGGTTTGACGGCTCCAAGCCACTGCTCCAACGTGATTGGCCCTTGGGGACCCTACACGCTTCGTGTTTACCAACGCTAAGTCCAAGGAACCCAGGGAACGATGAGCCTGTCAAGCAATTTGAGAGCGAGCGGGCCAGACCAAAGGGCCATTTACAACAACAAACAACAACAACAAAACGTAACTCTCTGAGTATTGATCATCTCTGCCACCCACGCTCACAAAATGAAGTGAACATTGGACATTCGCCTGCTAACCGCTTACAAATGCAAAAGAATACCGAGTATGCGTGAACCCCCCTGTGCTAAAGATGCGTCAAACAAAATTTGGATGGGCGGTGGCCATACCTGCAAAACTGGCCAACACGCCCATCTGGTGGGCTCCGATGGAGCTGCCACCCCAACCCCCGTCCTTGAAACAACATGATCCAAACTGTTCCAAAATGGCCCTTCCCTGGCCTACGGCACACACAGCCCTAAAAAAATAAACACAGCCACATTGCCCTTCTCCACGCCACGAGCCTCAGCCAACTGTTGTCGCAATTGCAGATTCTCATTCCCCTTTGCTCTTTGCGTCATCAGCCATCACCAGCTCAGCAATCAGGAACGCAAGGCCTGACAGTAGGTAGCACGAGGGGATCAGCAACATGGCACTCTGTAAGCCAAATCTTTTCGACAGCACAGAAATTGCAAGCGGTCCCAGCCCAGCCACGATGTTTCTCATTGAGAGATTTGCAGCAGTGGCAGAAGATGCCAAATCCGGAGGGGCCACTTCGCGAACCATCAGGGCTGCGGGTGATCTCCATGCCTCTGACAAAGCAAACCCAAACAGCAGGAAGATGAACGACTGCTCGTATTCACCCGCATTGAAGGAGCCCAGCATTAGAGGGGCTGCCAACGCCGTTGCTCCAAAAGTTAGCCAGTATCTCTGTCCATTTTGTGACACCCTGTCCGCAATCAGCCCTCCACCAACACCGCCAATTATTCCACCAATGGGAATAACAGCTGCCAGCAAAGGCGCATACGTCTCGGCTGGGAGGTCGAAAACGCGCTCATAGAAGGTAGCATGCCACGCAGCAAGGCCCCAGCCCCCAACGTCGTTCAGTGTGCCTCCCAAGGTGATGGCCTGAGGATGCACACACACGACAGAACATCACGACAGAAACCAAATCAACGAAAACAGACAGTGAATGGGACCATATTTACCACTGATAGCCCACACAAGCATCCTGACTTGAATATTTCTCTGCAAGCAGGGGGTGGAGGAACATGCACACGTACTTCATATAATGTTCAGTTTTGTGAAAGCGTGCTCTGATAACTCACCAGAAACGCTGGTGTCTTCAACACTCCCAGTATGCCTGAGAAGTCGTGCTTGTCTTTTTCGTCAACACTGCTCATAATAACTGACCCTGCCCCGCCCCCATTCTGGGGCACAACCAGTGCCTCGCCACCAAGCCCAGGCCCCTCAGTGGTGCCCTCCATGGGGACATCAGCACTTTCGCTCCCCTGTGCTCTGGGTTCACTGATGGTGAGCACCACCACTGTTGCGATCGCCAGCCCTGGTAGCCCCAGCCAGAGCAAGACGTCGCGCCAAGAGGAACCTGCACCCTCGTTGAACAGGATTTGAAAATTGTAGTCGTACACAGGCATCACAGCAGCCCTGTCTCCTGTTGTGTAAAGCAATTCCATGTTGGACGTGTCCAACCTGTCAAGAGGTATCATCCTTATGCCCACCTCGCCAGAAAGGCCCAGCCTTCCCAAAATGAAAACGAAGGCGAAGGACAGTGCCCGTCCAATGTATACTGCTGAATTGTAGAAAGCGAGTGCTGTGGACTTGTTATTTGGGAATATCTCAGGAATCAAATTGAAGCAGATTGGGTTCATTGTTGATTGCGCTGAGGCAAAGCCCACACGCAGCAACAGAAGATCTCTGAACGATCCAACCCTTGAGGACAGCGAGGTCAATGCACTCCAGAGTGTTATTCCCCCGGCCAGGAGCTTGGGTCTGTTGACCTGATCAGCCAAATATCCCATGGGAATGAGGGACAGTGCATACAAGATAGAGTATCCCAATGTCAAAAAAGCCCCTTGGTTGTCAGAAAGATACAGTTCTGTGCTGATGAGAGGGAGCATTGCAGGGACTGAGTACCCAGTCGCAGAGTGGTGGATATAGGTTGCACCAAGAACAACCAGCACCCAAGCAGCACCCAACTGGACTAGCGAATCTGCCTTGTGTCCGTCAGCCATGGCACCATTTGATGACTCGTGATCGGCTTCATCAACACCACCAGCTCTCTTTTCCGGCACAAGAAAGGGTGGCCGATTGGAAATCAGTTCACCCAATAGGTTTGGCACCAACAGTTCATTCTGTCCGTCTGTTGGGCCAACTGTGGAAATACTGTCCAAAGATCTCTCAGACTTCTCTGTCGCATTGGACAGCGCATCATCAACCGTGTCTTCAGCCGCAGCATCTTCTGTACATCCTGTCTTCGCCAGCGCTCTCCTTGCTTCAGATTCCTGTGGAGATGAGTTGCCCCCTGATGATGATGACATAGATACAGGCCTTTTTCTCGCATCCCCAGCTGCGCCGACTCGCATCCCCCTTGAGCGCAATCCCGTAGTCGTGCAAGAAAGGGGAACACGCAGCCGGGCACGTTCCGTTCCGTTGTGCAAGAATGGGTGCCTGTTCCTCCCAGGCCGCCAGCATTTATTTTGGCAAACCGAACCTTTCATAGCCACATCTTCCAGTACCATGCGTCCTGCCGTGTTGGTCAATGGCGATCTCTTGACTCAGAATGCCTGCGAAATGCCAGCCATAGCGCGTTTCTCCACCGTTCGCTGTGTTTCTCAGCGGCGTATCTGCGCCGTTTGCCATATCTGACCGTAGATACTCCCCTCTGCAGGCTGATGGGCATCATCCCACACGTCCCCATCATCACAAGCAGACAGACAACGACGCGGGGCCCCAATCCCCGGCCCAAGCAGCCCTCCGAAAGCCGTCCAGACTGAGCACAAGGCGAGCCCAAAGGACAGAAAGGGGCCTGATTGCTGCCCGCAAGGTCCCAACAGGACAAATTGTGCGCGTCAACAACCATCTGCCGCTCCTCCAGACGACGCCAAGACGGCACGTGGGTCGAACGGCGAAACTCCCACTTGCGCTTAAGCCGTTGCCGCGCTCACCTTGCCGCCCGGCACGGGCATGCCGCCCATGCGGTCGCGTGCGCTCCGCGCGCTCACTTCGCTTCCGCCGCCCGCGCTGCGCCGCGCCCCAACGGCGCCTCACGATTCGCCTTCCAAGTCCCGCGCCCGGCAGCAAGCGTCCCGACTCAGGCAGCCCAAACGGCGTCGTCGGACAGAGGGAGCTGAGTGGAGGCCAGGTGGGGCGCACGCATCATGAGCCTCCCATGCGCCTGTCTTGTCAACGCTGACAGGACACCCTCCACCGTGTTTTGGTACGTGTAGCGTGCTTTGCGTCGCGGCCTCGGTGTGGCGATTGTCGGCGGCGCGGGCTCAGCGCACGCTCCGGAGACTGGCCGCTGCGGGCGCCTTGGGCGGAGCGAGCAGCAGCTTTTGTTATGAAGAGGGACAGGGATGACGGGCGGGAGAGCCAGTACGGCGGGAAGTACCCGAGGGGCGAGGGCGGGGTGCGGGGCAGGGGCAGGGGCGGCAGGGGCGGGCCCAAGGGGCAGCGGAGGTGAGTGCGCGCGGCAGATTGCGGCCCGCGCCGCGCCTCTCGGCCTTTCGGGGCTCCTGTTTTCCGCGGGTGCGCCCTGAGGCAGCGGGCGTTGTTTCTTCGCCGGGGAGGCCGGTCGTTGATGCGATTGTCATGCTTGAGTCACATGACTCGCGCCTACCGCGACGGCTGCGGCGTCAGGTTGCTTGGCGGTGTTGCTGGAAATGGGGGGATTGCACAAGATCCCTGGTACCCCTGTTGGCATCTGCTTGCAAGGGAGGGCGCGATGCGGGTGCGAGAATCCGGCTTACAAGCCGCCCATTGGGGGTGCAGGCCCTCGGTTTGTGCTGCGTCCGATTGCCTGTCATCTGCTGCGTTTTAGGCCTCCGGGGCGCGGGGTGGAGTATGCGGGGTACGACTTCAGTTCGTACACTGTTCCCGAAATAATGGACGAGGACGTAGAGCTGAAGGCGGAAATTAACGTGAAGCGAGAGATGGTTGGGGCGATAATTGGGCGTGGGGGCAGCACGGTCACCCGCATTCGCTCGAATTCAGGGGCGCACGTGCACATTCGGGAGGCGTCGATGGGAGAAAATGAGCAGACGGTAGAACTGAGAGGAAACAGGCGCCAGGTTGGTTGAACGGATGCCGTTGCTCACTCGTTGGGCACATCCTTGAATCAGAATCGTGCTGCTACGTTCATAATTAACTGGTTGTCGCTGAGAGTGGGCAACCTGCCTGGCTGAGGACGGCCCCCTTTGAGATCTTTTTCGCACTTTTACATGTGATGGGAAGTACCCTTGTTCATGGTCGACATCTTGTACCTGTGAGCAGGCCAAAGGATAACAGCCTCAGAAGTACACGTAGCCCCACCCCTTTCAACCCCCCATCCATGTGTAACCTCCATGTGTATTGTAATACACATGGACGTTTACAGTATTGTGCATGCATATTATGTGTATATATTAGTGAGTGACAATTGCACCGCATCCCGTGCAACTGCCTGCTGAATGGACACATGTTTGACCTGGCTTTCAGGTGCGCCTTGCAGCAGATGAAGTCAAAGATGTTTTGATGAAGGAGGATGAAGAGTATGGCAGAGACAATGGCGACATAGCAAATGCGAGCATCGTTGCCTGTATCCCACCAGAGATGGTTGGATGCCTGATTGGCAAGGGAGGCCAGAATGTGAAAAATATTAGGGCAACAACGGGGGCCCAAGTCAGGGTGGACTGTAAGTGTTCAGAGTCATTGCCCTATCAATTTTCTGTGCTTTCATACTTGAGCTGGCGTGTGTATGTGTGCACTCAGATGTTTGTTGGCTTTGGACTGATGTTTCAAGAAGGAAAGTCCAGCATTACACACTTTGGGGTTGCTTGACTGCTGGTCTCATTGCTGCAGCTCTGCAGGAGGGTGAAAATGTGCAGGCTGTGAACATCTATGGTTCCATTGATCAAGTGGTCGATGCTTTTCAGAAGGTAAGTGGCACTTGCCACTGTATGATTGCTGTACTGATAAGTCGCGCTTGCTGTACCTGCTGTCCAGCATGCTTTAGGGGCTCAGAAGCTGAGCTCCACAGCACACCTGACAGCCTGCATACGGGGGTTGAAAGGTCCCACACTCATGCAAGGTCCTTGTGGCGTGACCTGATTTCATGCTGGTTTTCTGGAGCCTAGCATTGCCTCCAAGGTCCACTGGCAGTGCTTTGTCAGTTTGGGCAATCAAAGCTAGTCATGCATGATAATCTGTTGTTCAACGTCTCCCATACAATCCTTGAGAAATGGGAAACAGGTGTGCATTGTTGGCCGTAGGAGGCAGATCCGATTGTCTGATCCTGCTTTCATCAGTCAGTGATACTTCGTGCCTGCTAAACACCTGCCCCAGCCTGTTATCAGAAACATCTCTTTAACATTCAAGAACACCAAGCCGATGTACATGTATTCCTGCTGCTGCATAGGTTTCAGAGATTCTCAGAGGTTTCGACCCCAGAAAGTCAAGGCTGCTGAGGAATGCAGGCAGTCAGGGTGGTCCGGTGGGTGCCACTGAACTTTTGGGTGGCGCTAGTGGGACGCCCTCGATGCCTGCCAACACCAACCTCATGGGTGTGAGCCTTGGAGGGGGCGTTGTAGGGGCAGGGGGAGTGCTGACAGGCCTGGGAGACGTTGGTGCAGTCACTGCTGGCATGGTGCAACCTGCGGGCAATTCTGCGCAACAAGCCTTTGTCATTCAAACCCCTACAGGTACTCGAGTTGTGCTTGTGCCAAAAGCGCTGCTCCAAGTCCCTCCACTGCCTTGTCCTGTGCCCCACAGTTTTGTTGCTGCTGCCACACAGCTGCTCTGTTCCCTTGCAGCTGTCATTGTTGTATGAGCAAATTGGAAGCAGGGTACTGGCTATTGTGCATCCATTGCATTTGGGTTTGGCTGTGCCGTTGTATAACTGTTCCTTTCATCTGCCCAAGGTGGTGCGACACCGACCATATTGGTCCTCCAGCCTGATGGAACTTTTGTTCCCGCTCCTGTCATCTATCAGACGCTCCCCACAGCCCAGAATGGTGCCGGAGTTGGCAACATTGTGCAACCAGATATTGGTGCTGTCAATGCCACTGGCCTTCCTCCATTTGGTACCCCTGGTGCAGTCCCGGTGAGTGTCTGGGGTGGATGGAGGACTTATGTGCTTTGAAGATAGAACTGTTGTTTCAGTTGCTGTTAGCACTGTGCACAATGCTTGATTTTGTTCAGTGCGTGGATTTTGGTGCATTGATTAGTTTGACAAGGGTTGAAGAACTAATACTAATACGGTCTTGGTGTACAGAAAGAGAATCTTGCAATGTGAGGTTTTGTGGGCAGCAACGAAATAAGAAACAATTAACAAACCTTGCAGGTGGCGATGGATGCAGAGTGAACAATGCAGCAACACCAACAAAACTGCTTGTTGTGGCCTTGCATTCAGCATGTTTGTGTTATGAACCCATGGCATTGTTTGCTTGCAGGGCATGCCAACAGGCACAGGCACACTTCCTTGATGCCATACAAGTTGCCCCCATTTGCACTTGGCCAACCAGCTTTCATGGCATCTGCCAGTAGCTGCATTTGGCTTGGTGGGGGGCTGTCCAAGGGATAAGGTGAGAACCTGATCCACAGCAGTTTGTAGTGCCTTTGCTGCATTGGAAAGAAGATACCTGGTCCTCAGAGATTGGAGGCATCCCCTCCTATTGACTACTAGGGAACCTGCTGCTTTGCGATAAACCCAGGAGACTGCTATTTTGTGAGTAAACAGCGTGGTTGCAACAGGCAGCTGCTGGCTTCCCCAGAATCCATACTCTTAGCAGGAGCTATGGCTCCCAGGCATGGCAGGAATACTGCACGCACTGGGAGCCAGCCCATATTCTTCCCCAGAAAGTACTCATGTAGCTGATTCAAGGGCTAACAGCAAAGGTTGACTTTCCGTGCACCTGATAGCTGCACCAATCTAAGCAAGAAAGGTGAAAGAACTTTTGGGAACATGTCTGTTAGTTTGCTCATTGTCTGCACAATCCAGCTGGATTACTGAATCATACCCTGCTGCAGGTATCAATCGTTGGGCCCTAACTGCAATCCCACTTGAGGTGGCAGTTTGCCACACAACAAGCAACCATTCAGAAGCGCACCAAGATGGGCGAAGCCATGAAGAAGTTGCCAAATCTGCGATATGAAACCTTAAAATCAATTGGAGGCCTTAGTTACAAACAAGTGCAAGATGTCAACACTCAGGATAACCCGCTTTTCAGGGGAAACCAGGAGCACAGGAGCACAGAACTTAAGCCTCCAAGAACCCACCAGCAGGATGCAAGAGGAACATGGTTTAGGAATATTAATGATGAAGATGACGGTGGACGATCAGCCAAACAACAGGGGCAAGACTTCTTTTGCTGTGGGAGTATGGGGAACACTGGAAATTTATGTGCGAATGTGGGCACTGCCAGAAGGCAATAAGAGAGCAGAGCTATCTGCTAAAGTGGAAGCTGATCGAATGAAAGCAAATGCAACAACAAATTATCCAGAAGGGTTGTGTTTTGCAGTTCTGGGCTCCTTTCACTTTGAGGCTGACAACACAACCGAAAGAAAAGCAAGGGATGGCCACGTGTGTGATGTGCGATGTTGTCTGCGTTTAGCAAACATTTGGACGGCAGGTTCTTTTCTACTTGACATGAACCACGGCTCCAGAACTGGCACGACGTGTGGTGATGTGTATGTAATTGCAGTTTTGGCCCTGTTGCGATGTGTTCCCTCGACCAAACGCGTCAATGCACAATGGATATTTGCTGCTAGGTTGTCGCCAATAACTGAAGAAGGTATCCCTTGATGTAAGATCTTGCAGGTCTTTAGGTACGAAATCGTCATCGTTTTGTACTGATCGCTTGGGCAGGGCAGTGAATATGTGAGTTTAACTCAGCCATGACATCATCAATTGTGCCTGGAAGTTTCGCAGCAGAGAGTTTTTGCCCTTGAGGCCCTGTGCAGTGTTAGTTTATTGCGTTTTTACCACACACCATGACATGTTGGCATATTGATTCCTGTATCCCTTGCAGCATGAGAGCGTCCATGCCTACCCCGACATGTCCATGCTCCCATGAAGACACCTAAACTCCCATCTTCTTAAGGTGGGTTTTGCCTGCAACAACAGATATCTGGGTGCCACCTGATTTCCTGCTATCTCGTCAGCATGATTTGGAGTTCGTTTTGAATGCCTTCGTCTCTATCAGCAGTCGCAATGGCAATACCACAGACAGTTTCTGTGAGTGTTGAACTTGGTTGTTGCGACTTTTGGCTGTTTCCCTTGATTTTGATTGTCCAAAGGGAGTTGTGATGATGCTGCACATGAGTGTCAACCTCTGTTCCTGGCTTTAGCGGCTGTGATTGGGTGTTAATCTGTGCTGTCTGGACTTGCAGTTCGATCGTTGACCTGAGTGGATTGTGTGAAGTTGCAGCAACTCTGAGGTGGTAAGTGTGGCGCATCTTGCAAAACAGGTGGATATGAAGTGTGCGTCGCCAAGAGCATTGGATCCAGCCGTTGGTAGGCTGCAGCTCCACCGTTTCATTCAGGTCCTGGCTGACTGGTCGGAGTTAGCATTGGCACACAGTGCCAACATTGAAGAGTTTGTATGCATTGAGAGCAGTCTAGACCCTAGTTGGACCTTCCAGACGACAGAAAAAGGGACAGTGCGAAGTCCAGAACATGTGGACACTCGAATGCTGCCAGGCGCACAAGTGCGGGCTGTGCTGGGTATAGGCTGCTGTGAATACATCTGAGCATGCTGATGCAGGACACAGCAGCCCAACTGTAGGGATGCAGCGCTGCAGTGCACGAGCGTGCCAATTCACTGCAATCGTTTTGACTGTGTATTGATGAATATGTCGCGGCATATGGCAGTGGTTCACCATTTTGTTCAGCTGTGCTATCTTGTGTATTGAAGCGGTCGCCCGTTTGGACTGTGCCTGTGCGCCTGATGCCCCAAGCATGAGGCGTGGAGAAGCACATGCATTTATCGTAGGAGGGGTGGCACATATACAATGGCATATAGCCATGGGCCCCCAGATGTGGAGCAACGCGTTGTGACCTGTCCGAAAATCGTTCTAATGAGCAGCTGAAACAATACCTGCGTTGAGTTATCAAGTATTGAGTGATGATATGCTTATTGGTGACATACAAGGCCAAACACATGCACGCTGCGCACGCGGTGCCCTCTGATTTCCGCCGGACCAGGCTCCTTGTCCTGCCCCGTTCCACACACACACTGGACCAATACATTACAAAGACCGTTTGTTTGTCCCAATACAACCCGAGGTACCCACAACTTGTGTGCCCAGTCACTTCGCTAGTAGTTAAGCCAGCCCCTTACAAGACTCAACCCTTGAGTCAAACCCACCACTCCTCGTCCCAACATACTTAACTCCCACACTTGCCCATCACAACCGAACATCACCCTAATAGGGAGGGCCGGGCGGGAAGCGAAACAAGATAAGGTGGGGACCAAGGGGTGAGCCTAAGTAGCTTCCCCGCTCGCGCCCGCCAAAGCCCGCCACTCCCAAGGGCGCCAAAAACCACTGGCCCTCCTTGAACGCAACGAACTGGCCACTGACCCAAGGTACAGGGGGACAGAAACCCCAAGGAGCCGCCAAAACCCAAGTACTTAAGCAGCGCTGGCCCAAGTGGGGCCAGCGCGCTTGTCCCTCGTCGCCCTGGGCGGAAACCTATTAACAAGATAGTTAATTCCATTTCCGCCGGACCGGGCTCCTTGTCCCGCCCCGGTCCACACACACACTGGACCAATACATTACAAAAACCGTTTGTTTGTCCCAACCCGAGGTACCCACAACTTGTGTGCCCAGTCACCCTCGGATACACGATGCTCCTCCGGAGCAGAAGATGTGGCCATACTTGTCATGCAAGTCACGAGCGGTAATCGTCATCCACCCAAAAATGCGATAATCCCACTCCGATGGGATGCGATACACATTGATGTACCGCCACATGGCAGCGTTGCGCCAGTCGCCCCAGTGGCGGATGCGCTACTCGGGCATCTCCAAGGCGAAACAGGCCGACGCCCCACCCGCGCGCAAGCCATGGTGATCGAAAGCGCTGGGGTGCAAATCCGGCGAGGAGGCCAGGAGGTCCCGAAACCAGGAAGAAACTATGCGGGCGAATGGGTCGCGCTCGCCCCGGAGAGTGAAGAAATGCGTCGGTGTCCCACCCGCGTCCGCCCAGACATGATCCCGAAAGGCGCCCCATCGAAGGAGGAGGTCAATGATCTTGGGGGCGCCCTGTGACGGCCAGGAGCGTAGGCGGATGGCCGGGTCCGTGTCCGGCTTGAGCTTGGTCCTGCGTTCCTGGAAGATCACAGCGCCGTCCGCCACCCGCACGTCGTCCAGCATAATGAAATGGCCGCTCTGGGCCCGGTTGAATAAAACGAAGTCGAGGAGGGCGGAGGTAGACGCCCGCAGTAGAAGTAGATCACCCGTCCACAGGCCGAGCTCCAGGACGCGGTGCATTAAAGTCGCCGGCACCGGAGCGTGGGATGAGGCTGGCTCTGGGCATTGGCGACGCCAAGACCGGGTGTGTTGTGGTGTGGTTTCCGCCGGGCCGGGCTCCTTGTCCCGCCCAAGTCCACACACACACGGGACCAATATATTACAATGACATTGTTTGTCCCATTACAACCTGAGGTACCCACAACTTATGTGCCCAATCGCTTTGCTAGTAGTTAAGCCAGTCCCATACAAGACTCAACCCTTGAGTCAGACCCACCACTCCTCGTTCCAACGTCCTTAACTCCCACACTTGCCCATCTCAACCGAACATCACCCTAATAGGGAGGGCCGGGCGGTG